TTTTTTGATGAAACTTGGCGATGACTATTAACTAAACGTTAAAGTATTTGTATAAGTTAGGATGATTAATAGAAACCATGCAAATTTTTTTATAAAATTTTACAAATAATTCTACAAGAACGTGGCCGAATTTAAAATTTTGTAAAATTTATTTGAAAAATTTTTTTATTAAATTTTGTTAAGTGATATTGGTTTAACAGTTTTACCTAAATCACATTAGTGGTGTTAATATCACAGCTCTTTATCTTAAATACTAACAAATCAGATTTACTATTATCATTTTGATATGTTTTAGAATATTAACTCTAATTTTTTATGTACTGTATAGTGAAGTTTTGAGAAAGAGTTTTAAAAACAAAGAGATCTATATCAGTATTAAAAGTGTAAGTAATATTGTTTGGGTTTGAAGGTTGAGAAGTAGGTAATCTAATATTGTTTTTTCTTTTAGTAGAGGTTGTAATTCTTCATAATGATTTTCATTCATGTTGTTTAGTGTTATGGGTTTGCCAGATAGTAGAGCTAAACCAAGTAAATAATAAGTTAGATAAAGAGATAAGAAAATTGTTACTTAGTTTTTTTAGAATAGACTGAAGTTGATTGTATTGGTTAAGAATTATTATATTCTGAATAAGTAAAAGTATTGTGTTATATATATTAAGATTGAGAGAAGTATTTTGTATAATAAGAAGTTGTATTATTGTATTGGATGTAGTTTCTGTAATGTTTAAAGAATTTAAGACATTTGAGATTTCATTTGTAAGGTGTTTTGTGGATTGTAGGAGTGAAGTGAGTATTGAAATAAATATTTGATGTTTTCATATTGATTACAATATAAACAATTTGAAGTTAAATAAAAAAGAGAATAATAGATATTTAGATTTGACATTGTTGATAGATTATTGAGAAGTATTTTATTTTTAATAGAATATAATTTAAGATTAGAGTTTTGAAAATTGATAATTTCAGTTAATAATAGAATGTTTATATTAAGAAGGTTCCATAATGGTTTGAATTGAAGGAGTTTGTTGAATGTTTAAATTAAGATTAGATTTTTACAAAATTTATATAGTTTGTATATAATTGGAATTCCTTTTCAAGAGAAAAAGGTAGATAGATAGAAATAGTTAAGATTGAATTTTAGTTTAGTTTTGTTGATACATTTTTTGGCTAGAGAATCAGTTATATTATATAAAGTATTTTTTAAATATGATTTGACTTTGTGTATAATATAATTAATGTTTTAAACTTAATTAAATAGTTTAGTATATATATAATATTTCAATTATTTTGTTCATTAAATAAAAAGCAACTCTTTCTGATGATCATTTGAACTAAACTTTTCAAAAAATTGAATTACAGAAAAATGATATAGTTAATATATTACATTTTATAAAAATCTTTTCAAAGTATTGTATACACATAGTTGAATATTGAAATAGAATTAAAAAAGAAGTTGCTGCTTTGTAGTAATGGTTTAAATATACTTTGGGACTATAGATAAAGTAGTTGGTAAAAACTAAAGTTTTTTATCAAATAAACAACAAAGTTAAATATATTAGTTCTATATAATTATAAAACTTATAAGAAGCATCTATAAAGGTCAAGAACTTATAAAAGCTACAAAGTTGGTTCATTTCTCATTTTTATTTTACTTTGAGGAAATTTTGTAAAAGTGGGTGTTTAGCTTACCCCTCTCCTAAAGATTGATACATAAAACTACCAAAACAGTCAGCAATGTTTATTTTCTAAATGAGTTTGTTGATGACATAAATTAGAAACAATACAGTAATACAAACATAACTATACACATGCCTTAAAATACTAAAAACTTAAAAATACTGCTTCCAGACTAACTAGTGCTCTATATCAACCTCTATAATCAAGTTGAAGATTTTTTCTTTTCTACATAGTTTTTTGTTAAATAATCTAAGTAAATAGAGAAATAGTAGAATTATTTCTATTTAGTTAAGTTTATAATTTTTAAAGACCTGAGACAGACATACAATTGTAACCATCTAATATTTGTGAATTGCAAGTTTCATACATTTTCTTTTTCTCATTTATTCTCTTTCTCCTTTTATTTCTTAATTTGTATCTTTTATTGTTTATCCCTATATCTCTGTTTTGTTTTTTTTTATATAAAAAATTTTTTTTATTTTTTGTTTCCTTACAAAAAGATGTCATCAGATTGATGATGTTCTATTGTAGGATGACAGTCAGACAAACAGACTATCTTTAACTAAAATAATGTGACAGGTTATACTTAGATACTATTTGGATGACTGAATAATGCTAGATTTATGTATCAGAAAAATTCTATGTAATCTGTATAGTTTCAAGAATTCTAATAAAGTACTAACAAGACTGCTAAAGTTAAAAAAAAAAAAAATTATTTTGTTTAATTTGTGAATTGTAATAATAGGATAATAAATTTGTGAGCATTTGGATAGTAGATAAGCTGTCAATATAAATATGAATTTGATAATTAGCTAATAGAATAAGGAATAAAGAAATAAATACTACTAATTCAGCTCATATTGAATTAGGTGTATGAGTTATAAAGACATTAAATTTAATTTGTATATTCTTTTTAAGAATCTAAGCAATATCTATAGAGATGTTATTTATTTATAAATTAAATATAAAGATATCTGTATAAAAGTTTAAATTAGTTGGTTCTAAAAATAAAATTTTTTTATAGAGGTCAATAAGTTGGTTTTGATAAATAGAATCGGGTATTGTGTTTTGTATTAGAAGAATTTATGAAGAAAATAATAAAAGTATGAATAAGAATTATAAAACTGGTTTGTATAGTACTGAGTGAATATTTTGAAATACTTGAATTTCTTGAATATTAATATTGAGTTTAAAATGTTATTATTTTTTTTGTATTTTATATTTTAAGTTAATAGTATGTTTATAATTTGTTTGAAACATAATAGATATAAAAATAATACAAATTATGTTAGATATTGAATTGATAATTTGGTAATTTTGAAAAAGTAATATGAATTAGATTTATTTGTTATTTTGGCTATATGCCAGTTTGAAAATGAAATATAAATTGTCCATATATTTTTAGAATTATTGGATTGAGATCTGATGAGATTAAGTGTATTTAAAAATAGATTTATTGATAGAAATTGAATGTTAGACTATATGTATAATATTAAAGAAATAGATATTTGGTTTGAACATATTTTGAACTAATTTGAAATAGGACCTCAGAAAAATTTGAAGGTTCTGAGATATATGTTTTTTTAAAGAAATAGGTTTTGATTATCAGTTGTAAGAAGTTGTTCGAGAAAATGAATTTTATTGTTTTTGAGACTTGAAATTATTGAATTATTTAAAAATAAAATAAAATTGTAGATATTGTTTAGTTGATTAGTTTGATTATAAATAATTAGTTAAGTTAGATCAGAGTTATTAAAAATTATATTATTTTTATATAGATGATAAAGTTGAGATACATATTATAATAAAATTAATAGTTTTTCTATAATTTTTTTGAATTGTATCTTGTATTAGAATTGGTTTCTATATTTTGAAAAACCATTCTTTGATTTAGTGTATAGAAATTTGATTTAATAATTCATTAGTATTGAAGTATCTTTCTATATTGCTACTACTAATTTGTAGAATAAGTTTATTTAATATTGGGATATTAAGTAATTGTGAGTTAGTAAGTATATCATTGTTTGTGTTTGTAAATAAATGAAACATATGTTTGGTACATTTGTTAAGAGATTTGATAATTGTTAAAGTTGGTTTTATAAAGAAGAGCAGATTTGTAATAAGTATTTAATTGATTATAAGAGAATGATATTAAATAATCAAGTTATTTGTATAGACAGAAGTTTTTTGTATTGAATTATATATATGAATTGAGAAACTTTACTAATGATTTTTTCAAATGTAGGTTTAGTTGATCCTTTTCCATCTAAGAAAATACCTAACTATCTAATTGATTCATTTAATTTGTGAGATGTAATTAGTTGGTTATTGAAGTTTAAAGGATTTATATCTTAAATGATATTGAGGAATAGTTTTCTTTTAGATAAAATATGAATTAGATCTGATTTAGATAAGTTAACTTATATGTTATTTAGTTGATAGAATTTTGATATGTTGTCTAGAATATTTTGAAGATCATTTTAGGATTCACTATGTCATACTGTATCATCCATGAAGACAAAAGATAGTATTGTTGTAGTAGTTGGTGTTGTTGAAAATATTGTTTCTAGAGGAGATTGTGATGAGATTTTAAGGAGTTTGGAACTGTATTTTGAGTTTATATAGCTAAGAATAGAATCATAGTAGATTAGTTAAAACTAGAGATGGGTTTCATATGTGCACATGAAACATTAATGCGCATTCATGCGCATTTTTCCCATCACTAGTTAAAACCCCACATTCTGTTGTCCATAGAAATATATTTTTAGAATGTCAGGTTTTCACTTGGCGACACCCAAATAATATTTTCGAAATTACAAATACCACCATGACCTTTGGGGTGCGGGTCAAAATCCCGACAGATAGAATCCCGACAGGTCATAATCCCGACAAAAAAATCCCGACAGAATCTCGATGGGTCATAATCCCGACAGCTAGAATTTTTAGGTAGAAAATCCCAAGTATGGGATATGTTTAAAGCGAAATAAACTCTTATAATTTAATAAATTTTAGGGTTAGGTCATTTTATATAAGGGTTAAGATAGGATTTGCTATAGTCTATGATATTTTTTATCAGAGTTTTTATTGTCGGAATTTTTAACTGTCGGAATTTTTGACTTTCGGGATTTTTAGCTGTCGGGATTTTGACCCAAACCCAACCTTTGTGTATAGCATCGTATCTATTGCATATACTGTGTAAATTAAGAAATTTTCATATATAAAATACATGAATTACGATAAGTTCAAAATAACAATAATTTAATAAATATGATTTATTAGCGCTTGGAAACGCCATTATGGATTAGATCAATACATGAAATCTTTTAAAACTTTGAAATATCTCTTCCAAAAAGTGATCTCTGTCAAGAAATCAATTAGTCAAAATATTAATATATATTCAATGACACAAGATTATCATTTTAGATAACGTTTTTTTCTTAAATTATAATAGTTGCTTACCTTTGTCCAATCAAAAGCTAAAAGTGTCCTAGTCCTTAAACTAACTTGTTCACTAAAATATATACTCCTCCACAAATATACAGCACTCAAACCCCCCATCCATGTCCATCCAAATCCAAAGTCGGCTACTGCCGCGTTTCCTATATACGCTAATGATCCAAGATGTGCATATTCAAATGGTGCTAATTTATCATCTACATCGGGATTTTTACTATCAGAATCCTCTGAATAGTCTGTTGATGATGGTAGGATGGATGTTCCGGTAGCCAAGGCTATTTTATTCAGTTTCTTACCAAGGTACTTACCTTGTTGATTTGCCACTTGTGCTGTCTAAAAAAAACATCAGAAAATAAATTAATATAGACCTTAATAACATAGGTTGAAGTAAAGCATATCAGGCAAATATCATAAAAAATTTTTATTCGGATTATTGCTGTTCTTGGCTATCTAATAGTGTCATCTACAGGTATATAAGGCTATAAAATAAGCCATCAGATACATAGTAGTGCTATCGTGCACCTAATAACTTACTGATAGTTCTATCAGCTCCTAATATGTGCTTGTAAATAACATGGTTGGTGCCAAAAATCAGTAACGATTGGGATACTTCCATGATATTTGCTTGATATACTTATTTCAAACTGTGATTATCGATAAATAATTATTAATACGAACCGAAGGTAAAGAAGTGACCTTTTTGTCAATATCCTCAAACATGGAACGTAATTCATCAAGCTCAAGTGTACCTAAAATATAATAAAAATTGTATGATTTTTTGCTTGGAATCACAATCACATAATATATATATATCTCACCGCTTTTGTCAACATCATACCGGTCAAAAAGTTGATCGGCCCGTTTCAAATGATTAGCGGTAAGTGGATATTTTCTTTTAATCCTTTTTGCCAACATAACAAATTCATCGTAGGTCAAAAATCCATCTTTATCGACATCAGCATCAATAAAGAATTGCATTAGCCCCCGAACCAAGTTTGGATTTTCGATGGTTGAACAATCCCCAATTGCGTACACGGAAGAATCATGGATACCCTTAAGGCGCAATCTATTATCTGTAACAAGAGCACGTGTGTTTTTTTGCTCCGGTAACTTATCCGATATAATCTTGGTCAAAGGGTTCATCGCTAATACAAAATTTTTTTATAATAGCTTAGCCATATGTAGATCGTAAAAAAATCGATAACTTTAACTCACCAATTCCAGTAGACCATAAACATAATCCATAATCAAGTTTCCTCGTATCTTGTTCAGTTTTCATTCGGTAAATGATATGATCTGATTCCACTTTTTGTACTCGTGCATTAGTAATAACATTAATGTGATCACGTTTAAATTTTTTCTATGAGATAAATAATAAAATATGCAATTATTAATAACTATATTATATCATTTAAATTTGAGAATATTTACCTCCGCAAAATCACTAATTTTTTCATCATAAGTATTCAAAATATGATCAGAACTTTGAATTATGCTGACTTGCACTTCATCCCTAAGAACACTAGGAAACTACCATAAAATAGCAAGATTAATTTATAAACCAATTACAATTGAATAACATTAATAAACTCACATATTTCACCAAATCTTCTGTTAAAAAATCATATAACTCTGCAGCGAATTCAACGCCTGATATTAAATAATAATTAATCATTAATTTAGATGATTATAAATTCAACGATCTCTCATAAAAAGAAAGAACTTTACCGGTTGGTCCTAGAACAATCAGACCATATTAATATATTAAATGATTAGCACAAAAAATGTCTCGATTAACATCTAAACAATAGTATATTTACCGCCGCCACAGACGACAAAACTTAAAAGCCGCTTTCTTTCTTCTGGGGATGTTGTTGGTAAAGCGACTTTTTCAAAATTGTCCATGATCTTTTTTCGTATTCCACGTGCATCAGTTATGCTTTTTAAGGTGTGGCAATATTCAAGGCCCTCTATTCCATGAGTCATTGGCTCTGAACCCACAGCTATTACGAGCTAATGAAAGAAATGGTGCCGGTTAGGTGTGAAAAATATCATAAAGGTCATAAAAACTTAATAAATACTTTATCATAAGGAATATAAAAAGAGGCATTTGGATCATTTTCAGGTGTTACTTCAACCAATTTGTCTTCAAAAACAATATCTGTAGCCTTGGCTTCTATGTAATGTGCGTCAACTCCTTTAATAATACTCCTAACAGGCTCTAGCAAAGATCTAATAATACATTTATTGTCATTATAAAACTAATAAAAACGTGAAAATGATGAAGCAATTTATGAACACCTAGTCTCTAATGTACCAACAGTAGCCGATGGAAGCAGAGGTCTGAAATAAATTATTTGGAATATTTTAATCTTAATATTTATAATCTCATATTTGAAGAAAATATTACGAAACTTACGTGAAAAGGAAATAATTTCTGAAAATAAAGATATGCCCAAGTAAAACTTGCAATAAATAAAATATTTGATATATGTTGCAGGAAAATACGACTTACTGTGGAGAGACTATAGTGACATGATATTTGTCCTTATCTAATCCTTTGACAAGGGAAACAGCCTATAATCAAAAGAAAGGAATTCCGTACATGTATTATAATTATTATTATTTAGCTCGAAAAATGTATTGGAGACTTACACCCCATCCTGAACCAAGAATGACTAATCTTGGTCTTTTTGAGGCAACTTCATAATCTTTTTCATCTATAAGATGCTCTGCAATCATTAGTTCTTTTGGACCACCTTTTTTACGACAAATACGTATAGCCTTTTCTTCATGCTCCTTCGATTGAGCTTCTGATGTATAATAATCTAATTCTACTAATATTGCAGTACCAATTACAACAAAAGTTGACAAAAAAATCAGACGACGCCAGCGTCTATGCCTCACAGTAGTTTCATTTGCGCTAGTTGATGCAAATCTCGATGAGAAATTGAGACGCATATATTGATGAATTGGTCTCAATGAATTAAAAAAAACATGCTGACGACTATTTGAATTCGATGAACTTGACAGCCTTTTGGACAATTTTGAAGTACCATGACCAGATAATAATTTATTATAAGCATGCCCTGTTCTAAAACTATAGACATTTGCAAGTTTACGGATCATGATTGTTAGGAAAAAAAAAATAAATGCACAATCTGACATGTGAGCAGATTGTTCTACATATAAACTGGATTGATGTGTAATTTGGCGCATTACGATAACAATAAACAGCCATTACCGCATTAACATTAAGGGTAAGGACAAAAGATGGTTACGTACGTATAAGTGACTGAAAAATTATATTTTTTTTTAGAAATAGAAAAATTAAGGTAAGGTTTCGCAGGAATTCCCAAGAACGCCATAGAATTTACAAAATTTCTTAATCTAACGCTGAGCTTGGATTAAGCAATTTAGGGGTATACGTATAAAATTATAAAATTAAATTTGATTTTTTATATCGATATATATATATTATATACTTTTATAAAAGAAATATTTCCAACAATTGACCTAGCCAAGTTGAGAAATAAACGATTAACTTTGTATGCTTTGTAGTAAAATTGCTCAAGGGATTTTTATTTTATTTTATTTTATTTTCAGTACGAAGAATGCACTCATAAATAAACCTTTGATTTATTCAAAATAGGGTCGGGGAACTTTTGAGGCATGCCCAGCGCGCCTTTGTTTAAGGTAGAGATTGTACCTGGTTAGAAATTTCTTGGCAGATACAATCTCTATAAAAAGAACTATCTAATAAAATTTAATAATGTTCTTTTTTATTTGAATCTTATAATCCATAAAATTCAATAAAAAAAAAGAAAATAATAAATTAAATTTTATTGAATAATTATCAAGATATCTTCAATTAAAGTTTTAAAAAACAATTAAAAAAAAATCTAGGTGAGTATAAAAGCATTAGTTTTCTAAATAAATTGAAACGCAATAAAATATATAAATAGCTTATAATATTTTAAATTCAGATATTAAGTATAAACTTTTAATAATATTAAGTATGTTATAGTGGACAATAACTGATTTATTCACCAGTTCTTATTATACCTTAATATTATTTTTAAAAACTAAAGTTGAGTTCTCTAAAGTTTAGCTTTACTAAGATTACAAGACTTCTTTCATTTTTTTTTACTTTTTTTTTATTTTCCTCTTTTTCCTTTTTTAAACAACAATTTTATTTTTCATTAGCAATTTTATCGATTTAAAAAATTCGTAATAATCATTAAAAGAAACAAAAAAGATGTATATTTAAAAAGAAATATAAAGATTCCGATCAGCCCGAATCCGAGATCGGGCAATAATCATAACAAAATAGGGGAATAAAATTACGTACCGTAAAAGTGCATATACAAGACCCACCAAAATAGTAAACCCACTGTGAATCAGTTCCGGGGCTATAATATAGATAAAAATTTTGGCACATTATAGGAAACAATGATTAGGAGACCCGGGTATGATATTAGAACATCATATATACGTACTACATAACTCAATAAGTTTTTGACTTCCCCATATAAAAACTTTCACCCGATTATCAGACCAATGTCTATACAACAGACCCCGGGTCTATTAAAGGTTTTAAAATTGGTGGAATGTACAAGACCCCAGGTCTTGTATATGCACTTTTACGGTATTATTGTTAGTATAAAAATTTTAGCTAAAAAAAGTAGATTAAAAATATAGTATATAAAACCTACTGTAATTTACGTATCAAAAATTACAAATGTTTATAATACACATTAATATTAAAAACAATCTAATTAACACCGACAATAACAATTAACCAATTAGATTGGATAAAACAAGCACTAAGATTGTTAATCGGGTTAAGAACAAGCTAGGATTAAAAAAGAACATCATATACGATAACGTTTTACAAAAATTATATTTACTGGGATGCAACAGGGCAAAGTTTTGAATTATCCGTTGCTGCGATATAATTGATTAATCGCAATCCGGTAACTGTAACCACTGTTAAAACAAAATGATTTGTATTTCTTATAATTGGGGTAGATTTACTAGCATAATTTTTTCTCAGGCGTAGAGTAGAAAATTCAAGAACAAAGAAATATTTCTCCACTTCGTCATGAACAAATCCGGTGACCTACTATCACATAGAAAGTCCAGTGGCTGCCTCCTTGTTAATCCATTCACAAGCGGGTCACGCTTATAATTATATAAGTGTTTTTAATTAGGGACATTACACAAAATCGTACGTACTAATTTTCTATAAAAAACTCAAACGGAAATCTATCTATTCACATAACGATAAACGATACGTAACAATTCGTAATTGACAAAATCGGTGAGGAAATTATTACGTTATCGTTATATATATTATATTTATATCATAATAATAAGACAATTGCGATTAGAGTCATATGCTATAATTATAAAATCCAAGAATGTGTAAGTAAAAATGAGCCCAATTAGGAACATTAGGAACATTTTAGATCTGCCATAATCTGATAGCAAACATGAATCCAATCAAATTTGTCGATTACTCGATATTACTTGAAATAAAGAAAAAAAGTAACGACTTTAGTGCACGAACATACGTATGTAAGGCACCCGATGTTTTTCCTTATAGCAAAAGATAAATAATGATTCATAGACAACTATCCAGTAACTTATGTATTGATACCAGATCAAGATAAACTTGGCTAGTGTATTAGTAATTTTTTCGCAAATCTTTATAAATAAACGGGGCGATCAAAAAACATCGTCCTGAAATGACCACTAAATCGTTCAATTTTCATTCTGTGGATTCATAATTAGATAAAAGGTATTGTAATACAATATTTTATTGTCTGATTCTCAATTTTTTGTTAAACTTTTATAATTATTTTTGTTTTTTATTTTCAAATGTGATTGTTCGACTTCTACATAAAGTTTAGCAGTAAGCTTACGATTAAACATCAAATTTTTATTAAACATACTATTCTTTGCTTCAACAACTTTGGGAATAAATCATTCATTAATTTTATCATAATAAAGCATCAATAGAAAGCGTGAGTAGTGTTCGAGTTGATCTCATTTTTTATTTATTGGATTAATTAAAAACAATCATTATTGTTAGTTTTTATGTCATTAAAACCTTTTACCTTTTTAATTTGTTAGGCATGGGATATCTTTCGCTTTCTCCTTTTTTTGATAACTCGGCTAGTAATTTCAAGTTATGAATAAACAAGGAAAATGTTTATTAAGAGGGTGATTATTCAAGATATGACGTTAGAAATCTCTGGATATTTGTTTTTATATACAACTCAAAGTTCTTATCACGTATTTTATTCAATTTAGAGATGTCAAACTACAATTAGGATGGAATGCAAAAGTTTTGCCAAATGAAACGTTAACTCAAATATTTAAAGATATAGACTTTCCAAACAATTGTATATATGTAAATCATTCATGGGCCTTCGCGGCGTTACCGTTTTTATGGCAGTCTCCATTTACAATTGCTCGTAATCCAATTAAACTGGTAGAAACTTTGATCAAAAGTCTTCCCACCGAAGTAAAAAACTCATTAGTGCAGGTTGTATCAGTTATTAAACCATGGCTGAAAGAGCACACATGTTATAAGTATGCAGAATGGATCAAGGAGCTCCAATATGAACAACTTCTGAGTTACGTTATTGTATGGTTTGAGAGTCAACATCGGATTAAACCAGTTTCGAGAAACCAGAAAGTATGTCATTCATTAGAATTGCGTTCAGAAGGTGGAATTTTATCCAAGGAAACTCGCATCCAAGTTCAATCCATCTTCTCCACATTAATTTCATTTCTCATCAGCTCAAGCCGAAACTTGCGCACTCTAGATCTCTCAACAAGACATGTTTATCCACATTTGTCTACCATGTTGTGTCCAATGCAAACAAACTATGAATCTCTAATTACTATCACTGAATTAACTTGTGATACTTGGGTTCCCGAGAATTTTTATCAAACACTTTCTCTAAGATCTCGTAATTTAGAAAGTTTGCATATTTACCATCCTCAACGTGATTCCGATGTTGTGGATTTGGCTTTTCTTATTAAACATCAAACGAGAGGAATACAACATATAAAACTTTCTGATTCTGGAGCCAATATAACAATGTTGTTAGAAAGCTTCGGCACTCAAGCCGCAACTTTATCCTCACTCAGACTTTATCGAACTAACCTTACAAATAAGGGACTAGATGCGTTAGGGAAACTTGCTAACTTAAATTCTTTAGAATTAGACATGTGTAGATTTTTATTATGTTACCCTTATAAAGCCCCAGACCTTTTATGGCCGAAATTAAAGAGATTACATTTATCCGAAACGGAGGATTTTGTTGACATACCAGCCATTATTGTAATGATAACCAAAGTATTATTGGGTCTGGATGAATTATTATTACATCATCATCTTAAACATAATGATATAATACAAAAAACTGTTATTAAAAATGTTATTAATCAATTGCCTAATGTAAGGCAACATGACATTTCCCCCAACTGGCTTTTTACTAAGGTTGTTTATAAAGTTTAATACTTAAATTATATAAATTGATACGAATAAAGTCACCTTTTTCCAATATATTCAAGAGTGTTGTTACTGTTAAAAACTTTTACAAGTTCTTCTTTGGCGAGACTATGCATGTGGACAGTTATGATGTTATCTGCTTTAAAATCAAAGGGACGTAATAATAATGTGCTAAAAAATAACTTTAACAAATATTTGATTAGTGTTATGAACTATACTACTACGCGAAAAAATGAGTCCTCCCAAATGAGCCTTGAAAGTCTATATGTATTTATGGTTATCTATATTTAGTTGGTTTTCATTAGGTGGCACACATGTGTAATTTTGTAAAATTGAGTCTTTAAAATTCCTATCAATGGTTTCTGGATTGGCTATTGCAATTATATGCGGGGTGGATGTAGTAGTTCAAACGGTTTGAGATAGTAACAATATATTATATACAGTAGTTTAACTTTATTTAACACAAAAAACGATGACAATCTTGTTTGTAGAAATTGCTCTAAAGCTGGAAAAGTAACGTACAAGGCCACGCGTGGAATTATATCGTGGCAACGTTAACCATTAGAATGTTGAGTCGACAAAATAAATATTTAACAATTCTATTCATATAGAAGAACTTTATTTGAAAAACAAACTCTTAGTCATGTCTTTTTTATAAAAATTTCTGCATTATAGTTATACATTAAAACTTTTATTTAATTAAATATTTATTTTTTTACTTTTTTTTTTTAATTACAATTTTACAAATCTTTATAAAATGATTTTTAAAAAATGTTCTTACAAGTAATAATAAGACACTAATCTAGTAATAAATTGGTTATTAAAAAATGTTCTTACAAGTAGTTATATATCTCTTATAAGACATTAATATAGTAATAAATTGTTTTTTAAAGAAATGTTCTTACAAGTAATTGTATATCCCTTATAAGGCATTAATATAGTAATAAATAACTGAATCGTTATCACGCATCAAAACCATAATACTGAAAAATGTTGCTCATAAATTCTGGTCCATATTCAGTTATATCCAATTTTCTACCGTGTACTCTGTCAGGCCTTATTGTTCTTCCTTGAATTTCACGATAGTAATACCATCTTCTACCATAATTTACATTAATCTTCCATCCATTAACTGCGTAAAGTTTTTTAAGTAATGACTCACTCATTTCAATTGTGTGAATAGGATGGTTACTTTTTTTTATGCTGGCTAATAGACAATTCGTGTTTAATGGATTAAAACATGGGACCGAGGTAAGATCAATGTATTGTAGATTTGGTAGGGCTGTTAAAAGATCTTTAATAAGATTTAAATTGGTTATTTGCGCTTTCGAAATACCAAGATTTTGTAAAGATGGACAATTCTCTTTAATGGTTGTTAAAATTAATGGTGTTATCTGTGAAGATCCAATATCTAATGTTTTGAAATTCTTTGCGCTAGGTGAACGAAATATAGTAATTAAATCATATTCATTAATAGCTGTATTGAGATTTCTGTCACCATAAAGGTTAAGAGTTTCCAGTTGAGAACATTTAGAAACAAGAGATGAAATAGCATCGGATGAAATATTTTTGCATTTAGCCAATGATAAATGTGATAACCTTGTTGGAGTATTTGTTTCGGCTAAAAATTTTAATGTTAAATCGCTGATAGAACAGCCACCCAAATCGAGATGTGTAAGATTTGGAGAATGAGCGAGAAGAGGTATAATAGCTGAGTATTCAGAAATTATTGGACACTCATGAAATGAAAGCCTTTGTAAATGAGATAATAAAGGTTTGCAAGCCATACGAAAAGAAATTGTCTCATCATCATCATTGTAATATTGTTCTATTTTAACGCGACCAATTAGATTAGAGAATTCGCTTAAAACGTTATTGAATTGTTTACTAGAACATCCGCAAAAATCAATAGTTTTTATGCTTTTACATTCTAAAAATAAGACCTTTAAAACATCAAGGGTAATTACAGATTCCAAAGACTCAGATACGGAAAAAGTTTTTAATTCAGGAAAAGATCTTAGAATATGAATTAAAAGTTCAGGAGTTACGACCTTTTGAGTTTCAAAAGAACTTTTTTGTAGGCCGCAGGTAGAGAAGCTGGAAAAATCTAAATGGCGAATCGTTTGAGAACAACGCTTTTTAATGTCATTCGTGACATTAATGAAAAGTGTAAACGTATGAGGAAAAGTAAATGCGACAGTTTGATATAGAATTGTAGTAGCGTGAAGGTTAAAAGTATGATTTACTAAAGCACAAGCAGCGAGGGTTTTTTTATCGTCCCTTAATAAACCAAGAATAATGCGAATAATTTCGGGAGGAATATAAGGAACTGATGCATTTTTTTTCACCGGGACAACTTGTGAACTGGTAGGATAAACGAACAATTGAGGTAAAACAAGACCAGACATTTTTTGATAAATAGAAATTATAAATTGAATTTAATTTATTGAAAGATTATAGTTATCAAGTTTATTTGAATAATCTCTTTTAATACTTTTGTTAAATGTTTAGTGTTGAATCGAAAATTGCTGAGCAGAATTTCGCGTCTTATATAGTTTCATCGAAATAACGATGAGAACGAATTTAAAATTATATGATATTAATTTCCACAAGTGGCAACTTCGGGTCAATTGTCACAAATTTTGACGTTAATTATTTGTGGCTACGATTGTGAGAGCCGGCCTATTATTAGGTTGTTTAACAGAAACATGATATTGCCAAGTTATTATAAAATTCAACATATTGTCACAAAAAAACTGAGTAACAACGAGCCACTAGCAGTGGCGTCAATGGTAAGAATATGTATCATTATTGTCATTAAGAACTGGTTTTCATTTGTTTTGCTTACAATGTTTATACGTTATCGGCCATAGTTAGAACTTTAGAAATACGGAAAAATAATAATTATGCCAAGCAACTCAAACTCATAATATTAAAGTTACTCAGATTCATGAAAATTGAACACAAGTTATATAATTTAAAATTTTTGTCGACATTTTGATTGGCACTGACATCGACTACCATTATTATAACCTGAGAACAATAAATATGCACTTTGTATATTATATTAATTATTCTCATTTACATTATCTTAATTATTCTCGTTTATATTATATTAATTATTTTCATTTAATCACTTTATTTTCAGACCAAATAGAGCAAGCTAGAATACTGCTGCGCTAACTTGAGCAAGAATGACCCATCTTCATTATTCTTCCCAACACTGTCATGCCGATACGTCTTCTCTTAGTCAAGTTCGACAAATGGGAAAATTTTTCGAGAATCGAGAACTGGACATACGCACGTCACATTTTAAATTGTAGGGTTAGGAATTTTCTATTTTTCGTTTTTAATTTCTTAATTTATAAGTAGGTGTTGATTCTATAAATAGCCATTGTGTATGGGCATTAAAACAATACGTAGGAATTCTAGAGTAGGGCCCATATGTACTACAAACGTTATTGTGATTTGTTTGTGCGTACGTGTACCTTGATTAA